TCAACGTCGGCGGAGTCGCCTACATGCACACGTATCTGTAGAGGCCAATGCTATCTTGGCGCACTTGCGGTCGCTGCCCGTGATGCCACCGCAACTGACGTACTTTCCAACCGTCCATGTCATCGACCTCGCCGAAGCGGGGTACATCAAGCCCCACGTCGACTCGATCAAGGTACGACGTTCCTCTATCATGGGCGCAGACGGCAATGGCGATATGTATTAGTTTTCTGGCCAAATCGTCGCTGGCATTAGCTTGCTCTCGCCGTCTGTGATGCGCTTCAAAGAAGAGGTCGGGCCGTCGCAGCTCGATGCATTCCTGCCGCGCCGATCGTTCTACTGCATGAGGTAGCTTCCAGTCGCGTCATCGCCGTCTCACAAGCGCCGTAGTGGCGGCGTCCGATACCGCTATACCCACGAGATCCTGCCGGGACACCAGACATTTCAAGGCCGCGACGTCGAGCGGACGCGGCGCATCTCCATCATGTTTCGTGACGTCTTTGACGAGACGGCCAAGTCCATTTCCGATGAAATGCTGCAAATCGTCGCAAGCCGGACCTCGTAGATTGCTACAGCCCTAATTGCACTAACTAGATAGATCAAGGACTCTCGATACTGCTCGTTTGATTTGGTGTTCGTCAACTTGGTACCCCTAATCACCAAGTACACGACTGCTATGACAGGAAGCTTGATATATTGAAAGAAAAAGACATGCATTCGATTCGGTGACTCCCAGACACAGAGCTGGTCCCAGAAGACTATTGCTTCTTGTGCTTCTTCTTGGAGGCTCCGCTGCGCTTCTTGTGAGCTTGCGCCTAGAGACAATAGACAATCATGCATTGCAGCCGACGATCGCCAACTCACATCTTGGCCACGATGGTCTTGGGTCGCGGCGGCGGCCTGCGCGCTCGGGGCTGAAGGCGTGGTGTCTACGGACTCATGCAGTGTACACCGAGAAACGACGCGCATACCATTGACGGTCGTCGACGGGTAGAGGTGCGAGGCCAAAGTGTTGGTGACCATGTGGCGAAAGTGCGCGTCATCCAGGCCCTTGTGGCGCACATCAATCGGCTGCAACATAAAGTCTTCAAACGGCATGTCGTCGTCCGCGTCGAACCACGCGATCATATCGGTACCCAGGTCTGGCACATCCTGGGTTGGCCCAACGCCCACGAGCATGGTCGCTTGCACGAGCAACGTGCCTCTAGAAGGACGTGAGGCTGGTTGCAGTCCGGCTGCGATCGTACCGCTTGCGTGTGGCGTCTCGGTCCAGCGTACGCTCTTCGGGCGTCGCGTTCGGCCACACGGCCTCAAAGACGGCGTCCCAACAGCGCCAAATGCTTGTTGCGATGATGATCTTGATATCTTCGCGGAGCGTCCATTTGGAATTGGCCTAGTCCGCGCGACTTGAAGAGCTTGCCAAATCATGTTGGAGTCTACCTTGGAGACAAACTTTGACGCTGGGTGGCTGTCAAGGGGCGCGGTCGCGGCTAGGAACTTCGTGAGCTGCGGCGTCGGCGTGCCATCGGGCAGCGTCGTGCGCGGGTTGCGTCGCTACGTTCGCTTGAACCATAAGACACGAGCGTGTGACAGCAGACAGCACCTCGTCGGCCATCCCGTCGGCGGCCACGCCGTGCGTCGTGCCAGTCTCTACAAGAGGAGGTGCAGGAACTCTCTTCTTCTCAGCGTCTCGGACGTACTGCGTTGTGCCATCTTGATCAAATCTGCGACTGAGCAAACCACCGACCAGAGCAAGATGTGGAGAGCCAGCCGAGGCGGAGTATACTACTTCAAGGTGGCTCTCCATACATTTACGACACGACAACGATGCGTTCATGCCAGCGACGGCTCTCGCTGCATGGTGGACGCATGATGCAGCATGGCAGGCCCTGCGTTCGCTGGATCGCGAACGCAACAGCGAGAGGCGGGCACCAAAGCGACCACCGCCCCAAGCTTGGCGCCAAGAGAAGCCAGCTGCTTTGGTAGGTGCGTCACGGCTTCGCTTCGATATTTTCGGCGGCCGATGGGACGAGCAAGCAGCGGAATGTCCCCGCTTCGATCCTCTGCCACGCCAAGCCCACGCAAGAACACGCAATGGAGCTTGAAGGGACCGAGGTGGCTGCACCTGGACAAACGTCACGAGCCTCTTGTGCATTACCGGTATTGCTGGTTGCAGCGCTACCAGCTCCTGCGGGTGGCTCTGTCGAAGTGCAACCTCTCGTCTCGTCGGATCTAGTCTGTCGGATCTTCAAGATCGTCCGGACAAGGTTGTTGCTGCTACGTGAAATTACGCTGGTCTTCCGCCTCGCCTCGCAGAAGCGACTGCATAGCTGGTATGTTATCGTAT